AAAAAAAAAAAAATTATCCAGATCATCATAACCTACCTTTTCCCAGCAACACAGCATCATGTAGCATAGTGGTTTCTGTGATGAAGGAGTTGCCTGGATTCTGCAGCTCCTGCTACTACTACTATCCAGAGAAGGCTGGAGGGTGCAAATTCCAAATTCTAAGTTGTTTCCATATAAATTCATACCATTGTCTAGGCTGAAGACACCTCTGGTTCCTCCTTATTTCTTGGAGTGCTTCCTATCCAATAGTAAATTCCTTTTCTTTCTATGGAGCTTCTAGGCAGTATTTGGAACCCACACACACACAGAGTATGCCCTTCAGATGCTCACATGTCAGTCACACCTCTGGGTTGTTCCGCCCCCTGCTGGGTCTTCCCCCTGGCCCTTCCTGACAAGACTGCTGGAGCCAGGTCTGTTTTAATCACCTAGAAGAAAGCTGCCATCTTGGGAGAAAAATGGCTCTTTGCATGAAGGCTGAGAGGGATCTCTGATTCATTGTAATTATCCCTGGATACCCTATTCCCCAGCTGCTCATGTCTTCCCCCACATCCAATATCTTGACAAAGGACAGAGGATGACTCAAGACTCTCTACAAGCCTGATCAACAAATTTCACCTCATGGTAACAAGTATGAGAATGACAAGGCTAATTTGACACCATTGCTGGCTGTGGATGACTCAGCTCTGTCTACTCTCTGCTCTAATAAATTGTTTATGTTTTCTGTGACATAAGGCCCCAGCAAGCTGGGAAGAGTAATAAATTAATAAAGATAACAAATACTTCCAAATGCTGGATTACAAGTTAATGTCAAAATGTGTTAACCCCATATATGTCCTTCTGCTTGGGGTTGCTGTAGCTACTTTGATGCATGGCCATGAAGCCCTAGAAGAGATATGTACCTACCTTTCTTTCCCTGGTATGTATAGTTTGAAGGTATGTGGTGTCTTTCTTTTATCACTGGGTTTTCTAATCAAATTTCACCTTTGTGCTAAATGGTTCATTGTTTTGTCTCTCATTTCTACAAATTAAAGCAGAGAAACTTCTACACAAATGAAAACATGTTTTATTTACAAGAAAAAGTCTGTACACTGTGTATACATAAAAATATACAAAAACCAAAATAGAAAATATCAAAGTGTTAAAATGTATACAAACACTTCTAAAATGCAATTCCTGGAAAACTTTAAGCCTTGATTAGTTTGAAGAGTACACACTTCATTTTAAAAATTATCATACAAAAAAACTCCCAAAGCTGTTAGAAAAGTTCACTGATTTTCACTGGAAGGATTTCATACGTAGTTTCATGAGAGCAGAGCAAGATATGTTATAAATGTCAGATTTTAATACATTTTGTTTGCTTGAAAACTATCTAGTTAGAAGACTATTGTCTATAGAACCAGTAAATGTTTCTTCCCCTAATCTTGTAAAAGCTATGAGATACAGATAAACTTCTCTTCAAATTTCAGAGTTAAAATAAAACTTAAGATTAGGAAACAATACTATCTTCATAATTCCTTTTAAATATTTTACTCAAATTTTTTGATATGATAGAGATATGTAGAATATGACATTGGCACAGGATAGAGGACTGAATTCTTTTTTAACATAAGGACATAGGATGTAATCCTCCTCTGAAAAATTTAGTGCTTACATAATTAAAATAAAACTTATTTTGTAAAGATTTCATCATAAAGATGAGTGAAAAAGACAATATAAAAGCAATCATGTGTGTAGATATGTGTATATAATTATATAACTATATCTACATGCACACTTCTATGCTAGAGTAAGAACTATATCAGTGTCTTTAATTCTTCAAATTTCCTTAGGCTAAAGTTAGAGAGAATATGCTGGATTGCTTTTTTTCTTACTGAAGGCTTCATTCATTTAATAAAAGAAGATTCAGAATTTATACTTTATTCCTTGAACCATCAAAGAAACATTTTCCATTTATCAAGTGTTTAAATAATGTCCAAGTGACAGAAACATGCAGAAGAATTTCACAAAAGAAATAACCAGAGTAGAAAAACTAGCTTAAACTCAGGCACATTTTATCTAAGGAATTAGTTTCTAAATGGAGCTGCCTTCATCAGCTGTGTAACCACAAGGCAAGAGTTCTAAACTGTCAAAAATCAGAAATCAAACAGGTTATATGCTAAACATATTCAGAGACTGTGTCCAGCATACTCAATCATGTATCTGTCCATAATCCCTCAACCCTTCCTTTCTCCCTTTCTCTGACTCTTTCCACAACAAAGCCCAAACGGGAAGAAGTAATCTTGACCACAATCACTGTGCTGATGAGTAAGAAAACCTACAGAACCGTAATCATGCCATTTGTGCATAAAGAAAGTCTTCTATCCATCGTCGAAGACTGATATGGCCTAATACATCCTAAATATCACCAGGTTAACTCAGTAGTACATTGTTTCTTACATTCCCAAAGGTCAGCCAATATCGTAGGTATAATTATGTTCTGCAGGATTAAATAGCTTATAAGCATGTAATAGAATGACCCAGGTCCTTTTATTTCCCAATTTGGAAAATACTGACAATTACCTGAACTTTTGTCTAGATGTGTGGCTATGATGATAGAGGGCTACTGGAGAGTCGAGGGTTGATTAGGTTTCAGACTGAGTGACCAAGGGGACAAGATCCATAGGAAGTGCTATTTGTGAGACAGGACACCTTGAACTCTACGTCCTGTCAGAAAGACAAGGAAAAGCACAAAAATCAAACCTGTGTGAAGGCCCCTCACTTGCCTATTAAAGCACACTCAGTTGCTGATATGCAACTTTGAATTGACCACCTCTGGTCCCAGAGCATCTATCCTCTATAGGAAAGGCAGCCACATGGATCCATCATTGTTATCTATGGGAACAGTCTAGGACTGAGAATCTCATATCCAATAGACATTATCCTCCTGCCTCAGGTGAGCACCTGGAAAAACAAAGTAGGGAGAATCTACCTTAAATAGTTATTGTCGTTCTTGGTGACATCTGGGATTTTATGATAGCAACAACAGTGGATGGAGTAAAGTTATATTGAAATGCAAGGGGATGTGATGTACTCATAAGAGTAGAAGAAATGCCTGATCACTTCAGGTTACACTGTGAGGACTTGTTCAGCTTCCCTTCGCTAAAGAGGATGAAGAGTTCTGGAAGGGATGGAGCCAGAAAGAAAAGGGGTTGAGGGAGAGATGCCATTTAGTATTAGCTATTCCACAGAAGGGCCATGTGTTTACTGGAGCTCAGTAAATGAGGCACGTATGATTTTAATCAATGTCTAGTAAAACATCACCACTGAGGATGATTTGGCTAATATTAGCAGAAGACATGACATTGAACATCACTATGTAAGAATCTGAACCTAAATTATTTGAATTTCTAAACATAAAAATGCCCAACCAATGCTATTAACACATGCACCATTTTTGGAATGTTTAACCAATTCTACATTCCAAGAGTCTTCAGAGTCATAATAAAATTTTAAAAATTAATTCGATTTCCTTTTTGCTCTTTTGTCAATAATCTCTATAAAGAATACTGGGATTACTCTTTTAAATGTGCCATAAAGAGTGCTATTTGAAAACTTTTGAAGTTTCTTTTGAACTTGCATATTTATACTGCCTTCAATAGTTATTTTCAAACCAAATTTTCTTGTGACCAAAGGGGATTGTCCTGGATTATAGGGATACTGGTAAGGCTAGGATGTCACTTGGAAGAGTACAAAAGGAACTTTAATAATGTGAGTAATAAAATATCAATGCCTGGAAGATTCTCAAATGATGCAAGGATGCTAGGAGGAGATATATGTCCTACATTCCAGCTTCCTTGTTGTATTCAGAGTTATGGAAATTATCACTCACACAAATGCAGCAAGATCATGCTCTTTCAGGAAATTACAAAGAACCTTATGCTACTTGAGATATAAGTTAGTGCATAGGAGACAGCTAGCTATCCCTCTTCATAAACTTAGTAATGAAGCTCTCAAATGGACTTTTATCAGATATTGTCATAAGGAGAAACTTTTTGAATCCTTTTACTTCACAGTGGTAGTAAGCCACAAAGAGTTTATGCTGTTGTCCAACTTATTTTCTGCTGAGTAGAGTAAGTAAATAGAAGCTGTCAGGCTCTGAAAATCACTCTTGCTCAAGAAAACAGTCCTGTGAGCATTCTCGAACAAACCAATCCTGAAGAAAAAGAAAACACTTTTCCACTAAACTTTCCTGGCAGTCATTCACTCACTCATTTTGCCAGGAAAATTGTATTTAATTAAGTTGCTCTTATCTTCACCAAAGAAAGTCTAAACTGCACCTACCACTGAGAAACGTTTTGGATTGGTATGGAAATAATGGCATGTTTAATTTACATATTCCAAAGTGCTTCTGTTGAACTATCTTCACTGGAGAGAGATAGCACAGAAGAATCAGAGAGGTACTAATGTAGGAGTGACACACCTGGATATAGCTAACAATTTAGGATGAAAATTTTCCCTTGCTTTTAAACCTGAACATAGATGTATTTCTTATTATTAAGGAGAAATGCTTCCACTGAATTTTATTCATTACATGGCTCTGCCATGCTGTTTACATAAAACATGCCCATGAACAAAAAGGATTGCATTTCTACATTTGTCAATAGAAAGAATTTGTAAAACTTTAGAGCACCCAACTGCCAAGTTTTCAATAGCTCAAGGCTATAAGAAATCTCGATTAAAAAACACATAGGTATGTATCTATTGCAGCTCAAGAATGGTGACTCCAAAGTCCATTTCCATTTGTAAGGAAAAAGAATATCCCCCATAAGCCTGTGCCATTTGTTATAGGGCAATGTAAGAACTGTAGGATGGACTTGTAAACCAGAAGAAACGGATGGAAACATCAGAGCTAGGGAGGTGAGGGTGACTCTAGAGCCCTGTGGATCTGTATACTAGCCGGTAATGTGATCTTGGTTAGGTCATGAAGTACCACAGGGAAACAGTGCGCCTGTCAGGCATTTGGCTTTCCCTTGGACTATTTAGGACTGATAAGCTATAGTTTTAGAAATTTGTCATGATACAGAGGGAGAAGCATCTAGTAGGAAATGGGAAAACAGAGATGGAGAATGTGATAGTTAGAAACTGATAGGCTATAAGGGGAATTTCTGTTGTCAAAACAAAGATGTCTGAGTGATAATCCAGACCTTCATCCTAAAATCCAGGACCTTTATTAAGGAATATATGTAGAAGTGACTTTCTAGATACTGGACCTCAACTTGAATTTTTCTATACAGAAACTGCCTGTTAATGGCACTATCACCACAGCCTGTTATTGGAACCTACCTTGTTATGGGGTAGATCAGCCTACAAGAAGGCTAACAGTTTTGGAGGTATTGTGTCCATGGTAAAACGATTTGCTTTCTATGTGGTCTTTTCCTTAATTTTGTTTTTGTTTTTTTTTTGCATCTTTCTTGAGTATTTGAAATTCCATTTCTATACTCAAAGAAGTAATAAATATTCCATGGCTTAGGAAGAGCAGAGTTATCATGGCCACCACTGAATTACAGTTTAAAGACTCAATACTACATTGCCTAAAATCTAGCTTCAAGTATATTTTTGTAACTTGGAGGACTACAGTAGTACCTTATTGCACAGTGATTCTCAAGATTCCCTTTCTTAAGAGTGAGCATCATCAGATTTAGGGGCTGGACAATGCACAGCCTGGAAACCGGGCAGGACCACTTTGCCCTTGTGGTGTAGATCCGCCTGAGTGCCCATGTTCAGGCGCTGTACCAGGAGCTTCTCGTACAGCAGGGGATGGTAGGCGCCCAGAGTGCAGGCCGCATCATAGTAGAGCTCATGGTAGTGGCAAAGCTCTGTCTGGCGGATAGATGGGAGGTATTCATAGACGTGCACCTCTTTACACATGGACATCATGATGATGATTCCTGATCAGGAAAAGAAATGAGAATCCAATGAACAATTCCAACAAATGAAGGTTTCTTTTATTTTTTATGGAGGCAGCTTCTGACTATCAAGAAACACCTTTGCACTGACCTCTCATTATCTCTATTTCTGCCATATTACCACTTGTGCTAAATGGCATGCATATGGTTAGTTTATGAGATATGGGGATTATAAAGGTATGATTAGATATGTATATATAGTCATTCATTAAGTTAAACCCATGAATTAAATATAAAAAGACAAAAACAGTGACCTTACGGGATGCTGTTAGGAGTGACAGATTTGCTCCATCCGACTGACACCCAAATTAGACTCCCCTGTATTACATTCAACAGTCAGGCTCTGTCTGATTTACAATAAGATGGCTGTTGGCTCCAAAGAAAGCAATGTTGTAAGCCAGGCACTGTTGGTTCATGCCTGTAATCCTGGCTACCCAGGATTGTGGTTTAAGGCCAACCCAGTCAGGAAAGTCTGTGAGATACTTATCTCCAAACCAGAAAACTGAAAAGTGGCTCTGTGGTTCAAAGTGGTAGAGCGCTAGCCCTGAGCAAAAAAGAGCTCAAGGACAGTGCCCGGCCCAGAATTCAATCCCCATAACCAATCAAAAAACAAACAAACAAGCAAAAAACAAGAACAGAATATTACAAAACATAATAAAATAGCACTTGATTATAAATTGATATCATTGCTCTTGTCTTAGTCTTAATGAGCAATCAGCTGCTTGAATATGAATAATTTATTTCTGAAATTCTTTACTCTATTTGCTAGATAATTATGACATTTTTAATTACATCTTTGCTAAGTGCACAATACTGTGTCATAAGACCAGGCAAAAAGTTATGCTTTCTCCAGGCACCTGTAGCTCATGCCTGTAATCTTAGCTACTCAGGAGGCTGAGACCTGAGGATCAAGGTTCAAAGCCAGCCTGGGCAGGAAAGACCACTGTGAGACTCTTATCTTCAATTAACCACTAAAAAAAAGCCAGAAGGAGAGCTATGACTCAAGTGGTAGAGCACTAGCATGGAGCAAAAAAAAGCTCAGGGACAATCCCCAGGCCCTGAGTTCCAGCCCCAGGATTGGTACAAACAACAACAACATAAAAGTTATGCTTTCAATATTCTAGTAAATAGATACTTAGTCTATTGATGGTGGCTCATGTCTATAACCCTAATTGCTCAGGAGGCTGAGATCCAGACAATCATGATTACAAGGCAGAAACATCCTTGAGAGTGTATCTCAAAAATAGCCAGTAAAAGCTAGGGTTAGATATGTGGCTTAAGTGATAAGAGTACCAACTGGGCAAAAACAAGGGCTTGAGTTCAAACCCTCGTACAGGACCCTCTCCACCAAATCAACATAACTAATACATTTAATATGTGTATACTTGCCTTTTATTAATTGTCTTAAGGATGCTACTAATACCTATATTTCTATTTTGATTCTGACTTCGTCACAAAATTTAAATGTTAATAATGGTTATTAAATGTGGTTAAATCTACACATCAGTTTTCCTAAGAGTTATGAATAGAGCATAGCACATATGACATCCTAATGAATAAATTTCTTCATGCCTTGCAGAAGCAACCAGAAAGACCTGGCATATGTGGAGGTGTGCACAGCCTTCCATGGTGACCAGTATGTATGTCAGGGATGGGGCAGGTGGGAAGAGGCACTTGAGAAAACCAGGGTAGGACTGGAGAGTACAGAGCCCTTCAGGGCTAGAGGGAGGTCTCTTTAGTTAACTGTAACATCTATCAAGTGGGTGCAGGGAAAATCATTAGGGATTTAGGAAAACTTTCTGTAAAAATTAATCTAGGAGAGTAGGGGCAGACAAATAGAGAAAGAAAAGGGTGGGTAATTATAGTTCTAATATTCAGTGTACATAAGTGAAAATGAAACCAGGTAACTTGAGGGGAAGGGTGGAGTTGGGAGAGAGAGGGAGAATGATGAAAGTGGTGACATTGATCAAAATGTATGGTACTCAAAAACTGACATGTTGAATTGAAACCTCTTGCTGGGCGCTGGTGGCTCATTCCTGTAATCCTCGCTACTCAGGAGTCTGAGATCTGAGGATTGCAGTTCAAAGCCAGTCTGGGAAAGAAAGTTTGTGAGACTCTTATCTCCAATTAATTACCCAAAACCTGGACGTGGAGCTGTGGATCATGTGGTAGAGTAAAAAGCATCCAGGCCCTAAGTGTAAGCCCCAGGACAGGCACCAAAAACAAACAAAACAAAACAAAACCTTTGTAGAGCTACTTAAATATAATAAAATAAAATTCAAAAAATTTTAAAATTGATGGGTTGAATTGAAACCTTTTTTGTACAACTCCTTAAAGATAATACAAATTTACTATGATGGGCTCCAGAAGCTCAGGCCTGTAATCTTAGTTATTCAGGAAGCTATGATCTGAACATCTCAGTTCAAAGCCAGCCCTGGAAGAACAAGTTTGTGAGACTTTTATCTCCGAGTAACTACTAAAAAGCTGGAAGTGATAGTGTGGCTGAAATGGAAGAGTACCAGATTGAGAGAAAAAGCTGTGGGACAACCCAGGCCTTGAATTCAATTCCAGTATTTACCCACCCATATAGAAAGATTCATTTTTTAACTTTAAAGATTGCAGCAAGATGCCGGGCACTGGTGGCTCATGCCTTTAATCCTAACTACTCAGGAGGCTGAGACCTGAGGTTTAAAGCCAACCCAGGATTGCTGGGTCATAGGGGAGCTCTATCTGGAGTCTTTTGAGGAATCTCCATACTACTTTCCAAAGTGGTTGAACAAGTTTACACTCCCACCAACAATGCAATAAGGTTCCCTTCTGTCCACATCCCCTCCAGCATCTGTTGTTATTAGAGTTCTTGATTATAGCCATTCTAACGGGGGTGAGGTGGTATCTCAATGTTGTTTTGATTTGCATTTCTTTTAAAGCTAAGGAAGTTGAGCATTTCTTCATGTGTCTATTGGCCATCCTTCTTTCCTCTTCAGAGAAGTTTCTCTTTAAGTCTTTAGCCCACTTATTTATTGGGCAGTTGTTTCTTTGAAGATTTGTTGTAGGGGGATTTAGTTTTTTGGGTTCCAGGTATATTTTAGATATGAGACCCTTGTCCATTGTATGGCTAGTGAAGATCTTCTCCCAATCCGTGGGCTTTCTATTGATCTTACTAGCTATGTCCTTTGCCATGCAGAAGTTCTGCAATTTCATGAGATGTACAAGACGTTATGTCGTAAAACGAACTTTACAACTTTGGCTGGGGGGGGGGGGTTGTAAGGTGAGGGGGATGGGAAGGGATGGGAAGGGGAAACAAAGGAGGAGGCAACAATGCTTGATAAGAATGTATTTATTACCTTGCCCATGTAATTGTAACCCCTCTGTATAGTATTTTCACAATAAAAAAAGACCTTAAAAAACAAAAAATAAAAAATAAAGCCAACCCGGGCAGGAAAAGTTCATGAGACTCTTATCTCCAATAAACCATCAGAAAACCAGAAATGGGGCTGTGGTTCAAGTGGTAGAGTGTTCACCTTGAGCTGAAGAGCTGAGGGACAGCACCCAGGCCCAGAGTTCAAGCCCCACGGCTGACCAAAAAAAAAAAAAAAGATTGGAGCAAGCAAGATATAACCACTCCCATGACCTGGACAAAACGTCCTAAATGCCATACTAAGAAAAATTGTTTGGTTTCTTCCCTTGCATTGCTTGCAAACTGCTATGACACTTGACACTGAGAGTCACCATCCACAAATAACATAAATGCCAGCTGCACCTGGTTTTCAATTGTTCTGTAAATTACCACCATCACCAATTAAGTGCTAGCTTTGAGTCCCCAGCTCACGTCTGCCTACATCTGAAGATTCTCTGGGCCTCCAGGGTGTCACATACAGCTGCTACATGATCACAAATATAAAATTAAGTCAGGAAAAGAGAAAGTGATGGGAAGAGTTCCAGAAGAAGCCAGACACTAACTCCTAGAGACCTTTTCAGTAAAATAATTCCCCCACAATGTCTTGTCAAGTTGTTATAGTAGACAGATCAAATCTGAAATTCATCTGTTCAAATCCTAATGATGAGGATGAGGTCATGAGGATGACGTTGTCAGGAATGATATTACTGCCCTTCTAGGGAGAAACTCCAGAAGGGATCTGTCCTCCGGTCCCATGAGGATACCGCTAGGAAATCAGGTTTGCACTCAGGGCTTGGGTGCTATCCCTTAGCTTCTTCATTCAAGGCTGGAGTTCTACAACTTGAGTCACATCTCCACTTCTGGCTTTTTGCTGGTCAATTGAAGATAAGAGCTTCATTGACTTTCCTGCCTGGTCTGATTTTGAATTATGATCCTTAGATCTCAGCTTCCTCTGAATAGCCAGGATTATAGGTGTGAATCACCACTGCCTGGCTCATCTATGTTCTTGCTGTTAGAGCAATCCAAAATGTCTAGGACAGCAACACATACAAATACTGGCAACCAGGGAGTGTCTTAGAGACTCAGGGCAGGCCTGAGCACTGAGCAGGTGCTGGCCACATAGGCAGTCTTTGGCATGTGCCCAAATCGCAGACTGTCAGGAGGAGAGCAAGTGCTTAGAATAACCTATTTTCCTTGCATAAACAGTACCGGCACAGTGGTCCATTCCTATCAGAGGATGGAGTTCTTCCCCACATGCAAGTTCCTAGATGTCATCTAAGGGTCAGTCTTACAAACAGCTAAGCCTGATGTGTTCAGTTTTTCCTGAATAGATGTCCTAGAAGTGTAAATTCAAAGTACCAGAACTTCTATTTTTATTGTCAAGATGATGTACAAAGGGGTTACAGTTACATAAGTAAGGTAATAAGTACATTTCTTGTCAAACTTTTTGCTCACAACCATTTTTCTATGCCAGACTGACATGTAGTTTTCTTGTCTATTCATGCTAAACATAGTTCTGGATTTCTCTTCTCATTTCCTCTCTTACATCTGCCCAGGATTATCTGAAATATAAGGGGAATATAAA